GGCGGCGGGCGGGGGAGGAGTGCCTGGTGCGGGACCATGGAGCCGCGGGAGACCTCTTGCTGGCGGAGGAGCCAGTAGACTGCGGTGGCGGCAGACCTCTCCCCTCGCCGGAGGGCGGTGAGGACCTCGTGGCGGGGGAGGCCGTGCTCCGCCTCGATGCGGCGGAGGAGGGAGCGGCAGTTCGGGTCGAGCGGCGCGCCGCACAAGCCGAGGGTTGGGGGCACCGACGGAGAGGAGGCGCGCAGCCACTTGTGCGAGAGGACGCCTCGCACGGTGATCCTCTCGTCGGGAGGCATGTGCAGCAGGCCGCAGAGCAGGTCCTTTGCTGCCGCGGAGAGGCCTGGCGCGGGCGCAAAGTCGAAGTCGACTCCGATGATGCGGTCGTAGAGCGCGTCCATGTCTGGCTCGTCGAAGGGGAGGCAGCCGCAGAGCATCGCGTAGAGGCAGACGCCGAGCGACCAGAGGTCGACTCGCTGGCCGAGGTAGCCGCCGCCGAGGAGCATCTCTGGCGCGGCGTAGTGCGGAGAGCCGCAAGCGACGTCGAGCACCTCCTCGGGGGAGGAGAGGATGGTGCCGAGCCCAAAGTCGATCACCTTGATGTCGCCGCGGGCGTCGAGGAGGACGTTCTCCGGCTTGAGGTCGCGGTGGATGACGAGGTTGCGGTGGCACGACTCCACCGCAGCAACCATCTGCCCGAAGAGCCGCGCCGCCTCCGCCTCGCCGAGCCGCCCCTTCTTGACGATGTGCGCGAAGAGCTCGCCGCCGCCGACGTGCTCCGTGACGAGGTAGATGGCGTCGACCTCCTCGACCACCTCGAGCAGCTGGAGCAGGTTCGCGTGGTGCACGCGGTGCAAGATGGAGATCTCGTTCGCCAGCCGCTCGCGCGAGTCCTCATCGCAGATCTTGCACCGCTCAAGAGCCTTGACGGCGACCGGCTCGCGCGTGCAGCGCTCCACCCCGAGCAGCACCTCGCCAAAGGTGCCCTGCCCAATCACCTCGAGGAGCGTGTAGCTGCCGACCTGGCGGAGACCTCTGCATGCGCTGGGACTGGCTCCGGTGCTGCTGCTGCTGCTGCCACCGCCGCCGCCGCCGCCGCGAGCCGTGTCACCGCCGCGGCCGCCGTCGTGGCGCTGGTCGGCGCCCGAGCGCGGGGCGTGAGACGCGCTGCTGCCGCCGCCGCCGCTGCTGCTCTCGCCGGCGCGTCGGCGGCGTGGCGAGTGAGGCTCGATGCTGGGAGCCGACATACACACAGTGCCCGATGTATTTATTTTTTGCTTTCGGGCATCATGCCATCATCTGTCTAGCGTCCACCCATACCGCGTTGGTGTCCAGTCCGAGCCTGGCTGTTCTTCACCTTACTACCTACCTACCTACCGGGGTAGGTAGGGTAGGTCTGGGCCCTCCCGTCGGGTTTTTCCCTCTCTTCAAGCTGGAATTTTCAAAAAAAGAACTTTTCCGCGGAAATCACGATGTCAACCCTCCCCAAATGGGTGATCTGATGCTTGTAGGGCTGCTTGAGAGTGGCCTGCCTGCCATGTCACAAGAAGGACTGTGGTTGCAGGAGAGTACCACCAACCATCACTCTAGTTGGTTTAGTACCCCACCTTCACCTATCGAGTGATTTCTTTTTTTAGTTTCCCATAAGTAAGGTAGGTAGGTAGGTAGGTAGGTAGGTAGGGGCAGGGGAGAGGCCGGCCGGGTTTTTGCAGAATTTCAGCATGATGCCCGCCCAAGCAAAAAATAAATACACCTGACATGTCGGTTTTTTGTGTGTTGGGTTCAGGCTGTATCTAGATACGGGAGTGTGCTCGTCGAGGTTGGAGAGGGGAATGGGGGATGGGCGGTCGGCGAAGGGGTAATAAGTAGATACATACAAGATAGATGTCAGGGCGTACGGGGTAGCCGTCACTTTCCTGCCTCGCAAGGGCGGACCTGTCCCGGAAAGTGAGAAACGCAGCGTGGCGCACCTACTTAAAGGCTTCTCCTTGCTTGTCGGGCTGCTCCATCTCCTCGTCTCTTTCCCACCTAGGCGGGGCGGTGGGCGTGCGCGCGGGCGCGGGGTGCGGGGTGCGCATGTGTGTGTGTGTGACTACAAGGGACCCAAACGCGAAACTTGCTCCTCATGCGCGGCGCTCTCGCTGCGCTCCTTCCCTGCTCATGGGACCTGATGCCGCGCCACCTCTGTGGCCGCTCCATCCATCCTCTCTGACGGCGCCAGCCCTCCGCGCTCCGGCTGGGCCATCTCTTTTGGTTCCCACCCCGCACCCACACCCTCTCCTCTTGGTGGCGGTTAAAATTTCCTAGCTCGAAAGAATTTTCCAACAAAACTCCCTCGCACGACACTGGGCACGGGACTGGCGCGCACTGGCACTCACAGGTACCTAGGTACCAGCTCGAAAGAATACGGCGGCGCCACGTCGCTCGCGTCGTCGTCGCGTCGTCGTTCGGCGTCGGCACGCGTGCTCCTGTGCGTGCCCCGCCTGATGTATTTACCGACCCTCACACCGTGCTGCGTGCCCCCGCCCGTTGTGTTTTACACGCACACACACCTCCGAGTCCACACTCGGGGCACACTTGCTTGCGACGGCTGCACTCTTCTCCCACGGTCCGCGCCTACAGGTGTCCAGCTACTATCTGCTACTAGTTGGGTAGTAGTCTAAGTTCTGAGCCTCGAGGCCTTGCGGGTCTAAGTGTGACTAGTCACGCTGGGGTGCTTACGCGGTCTAAGATCAGCGAGAGCCTCTTACATCGGCTAAGTCGGCCGTGGCACGGCCTGGGGCCAAGAGGCTCCCACCGTGATCAACGCCCGTGATCAAGTCGTCTAAGTTCATGGCCCCCGACCATACAGCGTCTAAGTCTGAGCCCGGCTCCGTGCGGGGGCTAAGTTGAGCGCTCGCTCGCTGCAGAGGCTATGTAAGGTAAGTAAGTGTAGAGCGACCCTCTAGCCCTACTACCCAACCATTGGCGTGGAGGAGATCGTACCTCTGGGAGGTCCCTTCCTCTCCCTCGCCGCGCTGGTCATCGCACCCGCAGTCTGGTCGGCACCGATGCTTCTCGTGACGGCAGAGCTGAGCGTGGCGCTGCCGCGTGCGGGCAGGTGCGCGGCGGCGAGCCTGGGAGGGTGTTGTCGGTGTGAGGAGACGCACTGGTCTCACCGCGGTCGTGTGCGGTTTATATAGTTTAGGTACGTCGTGTGGGTCGAAGAGGCGCTCTGGAGCGATGCCGTCGCTGCTCAACGATTAATTAAAGAAATAACGCATGGGCCCTCAGCGGAAGCTGGGAAGAGGCGCGGCGTGGCGAGGAGCGGTTGTGCATCCGCTCCGGGGGCCCGCTCTGCGCCGGGGAGGCGTTGTTGCGCTTGTTGGAGGCTAGGACGCAAGCGTCCGTCGCCCTTTTCAAACTCGGGGCCCTCTCCGCTACGCTCCGACCCGAATTTTGGAGGGCCTAAAGTTTATGGATATGGTGTTGCTGCGCAAAAGGGGTCGGACACAGGGCGCAGCTCATGCTAAGAGCTCGAAGGGGAGATAGAGAGAACAACCACCCTGTCCCCTTATTGCGTACACCAACACCACACAAAAGCTCCCTCTCCTGTCTCCTCACTCAGGGGGGTCACAACTACCGAGTTCCTAGAGTCTAGCTGCCACGTCAACCAGGACGGAGGCTGGCGTGTTCAAACAATCACAGCGAGCAAGTAGCAAGCGCACGGGGGAAGGATGTTTCTGTATGTATTAGGTTAGGTGAGCATGTATCGAATGTATGTATGTAGGAAGGTGAAGAACAGCCAGGCTCGGACTGGACACCAACGCGGTATGGGTGGACGCTGTATCGAATGCAAAAAAAGAATTCTTAAAAGGAAAGCCTCTCTCACAGCACACTGGCACGACAAGGGCGCGGACTAGCGCGGACTGGCACACCCAAAAAAGAAAGAAATTAGCCTGCTTCGCGGGAAGCCCAAAAGCGCGAAAACCAAAAGCGCGAAAACCACAGACATGGTGAAGCGCGGCTTCACCAGCACCACCGAGCGCGACGAGAACGTCGGGAAGCCCGTTTGGGTAAAGTGGATCGAGCCACGCGGCAAGCAGAAGCACTACCACAAGGGCGAGGTTGAGTCTTTCGACGCCGCGACCCGGATGCACACCATCTTCTACGAGGATGGAGAGAGGGTTCCCACGCGACTCGCGGAGCAGGAGGCCGCCGGGCTGCTCTCGTGGCACGCGCCCGGGTCAGCGGCGAAGACGCAGCCAGCGCCCGGCTCAGCGGCGAAGGAGCAGCCGGCGCGCAAAGCGGTGGCCGAGCCCGCGACGGGCCGCAAGCGGCGCCGCCAGTCGGACGCGTCTCCTCCCGCGCCCGAGCCCGCACCGAAAGTCGAGCCCGCCGCGGCGCCGGACGGCGAGTCCAAGTCGGCGTACGAGCTCGAGCGCGAGCGCAACATCGCCCAGAACCAGGCGGCGCTTGCGGCGCTCGGGCTCGACGGCCCCTCCCTCACGCGGCGGCCTCCGCCTAGTCCCGAGGAGCTGGCCGCTCGGGCAGAGCGGGCGGCGCAGCTGGCGGCCGAGCGGGCGGCGCGGCTGCAGGAGGCGTTCGAGAACCGTCGCGCCTCCTCGCGGATCGCCACCCGCCCGCCGCCCGCCGCCGCCCGCTCTGCCGACCGCTCGCTCGACCGCGCAGAGGCGGAGGCGGACCGGCTGAGGCGGCAGTCGCGGCGCAGGCCGGCGGCGGCAAAGGGGCGTGGAGGCAAGGCGGCGCCGGCGCTGACGGCGGCGCAGCTGGCCTCGCTCAGCGCGGCGGACGAGTGGCTGTGCGAGATGGAGGAGTGGCTCTCTCCAAAGGTGTCGGACGCCAACCTGCGCAACGTGATGAAGGTGGTCGGGAACCTCGCGAGCGGCGCCGGGGTCGTCCACCCGCTCACCGGCGCGCGCTTCCGGGAGGGCGAGCCCGTCTCCCCGTCGACCGACTTCGTCGCCCTCCGCGCCGAGGCAAACTCGTTCCTGCGGCCGGAGGACGACGCCGGGCACGGCTGGCGACTCGACCACCCGATCGGCAAGTGCATCCTCTTCCAGCACCACCTCCACGCCTCGCGGCGCTGAGGCGGGCCGGCGGGGCGGCCGCGGCTCCTAGTCTCTACTCGAGGGTGCTCGTTTGCATGCCCGGCACCGCCGGTGGCCCACCGCCGCGCGCACAGCGGTGCGCACAGCAGTCCGTGTGTCCGTATCCGCACTTCTCACATGAAGTCGTTATGGGGGAATTAGTGTGTGTACTGCGACACACCGATCACCGCCCGTCACCGCGCGTGTGTGTACTTTACTGGCCTGGGGGAATTACTGCGCCGAGCGGCGTGAAAATTGTGTGTGCGGACACGCTTAAACACATACTCTATACGGCAGGGCTACGACCTACGTACACACCATCACCGCAAGTGAGCATAAATGGGACCTCCTGGCACTCCGTCCTGGGCCGCCCCTCTCTAGAGTGTCTTATGTCTGACTCGACAGACGACACACGCGCGCTCTCTCTGGTCTCTCACTCTGGCCTGATCGCGCCGCCCTCTCGTTGTCGCGACGCCGTGCAAGTGGCCGGTAACTCGTCAGCTCGGCGTCGCCTTTGGCGCAAAGGAGACCATCCCGTACACGCCTCCGGTCAGCCACTTTTCCGGCTCCGCCGCGGCCGCCGCCGCCTCCACCGCCGGCACTACGCCGACCAGCACGCCGCTCTTGCAGGTGCGGAGCGCGGCGAGCGAGGTTGGCCAGTACTCGCGCATCAGGTCGGCAAAGTCGGTGTCGTGCGGCCAGTGCAGGTCGCCGAGCAGCCGCCGAAAGTTGGCGTCGCCCTTGGTGAGGACGAGCGCCGCCTCGGCGAGCCTCGCGTGGAGCTCGTCCGGCATCTCCCAGAAGGGGAGCGGGCCTGCGGGCGAGGGGAGGGGCGGAGAGGTGGGGAGGCGCGCGCGGCCATCCTCTCTGCCTCGAAGAGAAGAGGCGGGCCGGTGTACGACTCGAGGCAATCTCTCGGCCATCTCTCGGCCATCTCTCGGCCATCTCTCGGCCATCTCTCGGCCATCTCTCGGCCATCTCTCGGCCATCTCTCGGCCATCTCTCGGCTATCTCGGGCCCGTGTAAAACTCGGGGCTCTCGACAAGCAGCCGCCCGTCGGCGAGCGCGTCGCGCAGCCGGCCGGCGAGCGGACCGCCGCCCTGCTCCTCGAGCCAGGCCAGGGTCGGAGCCAGGTCCGCCTCGACCACGTCGCTCACGAAGACGGGCCTCGCCTACGCGCAGACGCCCTCCCGCGGCTGCTGCAGCACCGCACCGCTGCAGCAAGCCTCGCCCGCCTCCTCTCGCCTTTGCGTGCAGCGTCACGCGCCTCGGGGGCGAGGCGCAGCGCAGCAGCCCGTCCACGAGCAGCAGGTCGGACACCAGCTCGAGCCCGCAGTTGTCCAGCACCACCACAACCTCCTCGCCGCCAGCCGCCTCGAGCGCCGCGCACAGCTCGCCCGTGTCGTCGGCGAGCATCTTGCCGCCCGCGTCGGCCAGCTTGGACGCGTCGCCCGCGCCGCCGCCGCCCGCAGACGCGTCGGTGGGCGCGATGAGCGCCGCGCCCGCGGAGAGGGAGAGGTCGGCGAGGTTGCCCCACAGCGCGGTGCTCACGAGTGACGGCAGCGACACCTCGCCCTCGGTGAGTCCGGCGGAGAGCATGTCAGCAAAGGCGGCGGCGGCGCCGTCGAGCGACTCCGCCTTTTGCGCCGCGAACGGGTCGGCGCCTCCGGTGGGTCCGTCCGTCAGCTCGAGCATCCGCTTGTACAGGTAGTTCTCCACAACAAACCACGGTGCCGACAGCCAAGTGTCGCCAGCGGCGAGGAGAGGCGCCAGCGCGTCCTCCCACTCTGCTGAAGGCGCGGCCAGCGGCTTGAGCGGTTCGCCCGCGGCGATCTCGCCGGCGAGCGAGCGCAGGTCCGCCTGGAGCGCCTCGCTGTAGCTGTTCTTGTCGATGACGGACTCGACGATGAGCGGCAGCCGCCGCTGCACCGAGTCATACGTGAACGATGCCTCCCCGTCGCCGTCCGCGGCGAGCGGGCGCGGAAGTGGACGATAGGGCGTCTTGCAGACGAGCGAGACTGCGGCCGGCATCACGCAGAAGAGCATTGTGAGAGCGAGTGGTGGTTGCCAAGTGCGAAAACGAAAAGAAAGTCGGCACGGACCGAGGATTAAGGTGGCAGTCCGGGTTCTGTGAAGAGGGTCGCTCGTCGAATGCGAGCCAGTTCGCTCGCGACGCCGACGCCGACGCCGCCGCCGGAACGACCGCGGCGGCCGGTCGAGCGGCCGCCCCGGCCAGCGGCCGTATCGAGCCTGCCCGTCGCGAAGGTGCGGACCTCACGGCCCCACCGGCCGCCCGCGCCGCCGCGCCCACGTCGCTCTCTCGAAGCCGAGCGCCACGCCGCTACGACTCCCATCGCGACGACTCCCGTGCTCGCTCCTGGCGCAGGCGATCGACTCCTGACACCCATCGAGCGGATGGGCGCGTTCCCGCCGCGACTCGGTACTCTCGAACGACTTTTGAGGGCAAAAGGTGCCGCCCGAGCCCATTCCCGCCGCCCGCCGCCCGAGATCAGCTGCCACCGGCCAGCGCGCGCGCGGAGACCTGCCGCGAGCGCCTCCGTGGCCCTAGCTGGGGTGATTAGCAAGCGCCTCGGCACTTTAGATTCGCCCCTCGGGCTTTTCCGCGCGCGTGATCAGTCTCGCATTCTCTCCTTTTTCAGGCGCCTGTTTACGGCCTCTGAAGAGCAACCGTCGAGGCGTCGATGCTCGCCTCCACGCCCGCGCCAGACCTCCGCGATTGGGGCGCCTTGTCGACGGGATCAATTGTGATTCCGGGCGCATTTTTCTGGCATTTAACTCGCACGTCGGCGACTCTTAGTCGCTTCTCCGTGCTAGGAGGCCTCTGTTTTGTGTCCGTGAGGACTAGATCGAAGCTAACATTTCGGCACATTTCAGTTAAATACCAGAAAAATGCGCGTTCACTCACAATTCATGTGTATATGAACGGTGCCGACGGGTTTGGCGAGCATCGAAGCCGTCCAGGCGCAGCAACGCGACGGTTTCGGAGGCCGACGGCTCCGAAAGAGCCTCCCGAGCGAGGCCGGCGCGGTCACGGTACCATGGAGGCCACAGACGTCGCCGGAGCGGCACTCCCGGGGCGGCACTCCCTCACCCGGTCAGGGGGGGCCAACCACAGCCCGCCTCACCGTCCGTGGAGCTTCCGTGGTCCGCCGCTTCGGCTTCGATTTTCGACCCTCCCGAGGCTGCTAGAGCAGCCCCGCGGAGCCTCCCGGATGCACCAGCACACCGTCGTCCAGAACGCCGGCGCACGCGCTGCCCAGTGACTGGGCGGGTCGGCCCCGACTAGGGGCGGGCCCAGCCGCGCGGAGAAGACCATCCCACTCGCGGTTCGTCGCACCGTCCGCTCCGGTTTTCGTCTCGAGCGGGTCGTGAGACGGCCGCGAGAGCGAGCACCGCGGTCACGGTACCGTGGAGGCCACAGACGTCGCCGGAGCGGCACTCCCGGGGCGCCACTCCCTCGCCCGGTCAGGGGGGGCCAACCACAGCCCGCCTCACCGTCCGTGGAGCTTCCGTGGTCCGCTGCTCCGGCTTCGATTTTCGACCCTCCCGAGGCTGCTAGAGCAGCCCCGCGGAGCCTCCCGGATGCATCGGCACACCGTCGTCCAGAACGCCGGCGCACGCGCTGCCCAGTGACTGGGCGGGTCGGCCCCGACTAGGGGCGGGCCCAGCCGCGCGGAGAAGGCCAGCGAGCTCGAAACACGTCGCCGCGGCCGGCCGTTTCGCAAGCCTGAGCGGGTCGCCGGACACCCGCGAGAGCCAGCAGCTAGAGCGCCGTCGTAGCGCAGATCGAGTCGAGGAGCTTGATGTCCACGGTAGCAGTTGTGGAGAGCGGTGGCACGGTGCGTGTAGACGCGTCGATTGAGGGCTCCCTTTCGAAACGCGACGGGTACGGCATGACAACTGCCAGTACAGTTTTACGCCGGCCAGCGTGAGAGCACAACAGGGAGCCGGCGACCCGTACGCTTTGCGCGTGGCGACTGGTGGCTGTCTGGAGCTCGTGTGAGCTGGGCCGACGCGTGGCCGAGCCGAGAGGACCAGCGAGCGACCACGTTGGCGATGAAGCTTGGCGGCCGGCGCCTCGTCGCCAGACGTCACAGCGGCGTGGACGTAGGAGTGTGCGGCGACGGTTACCGGCAAATCCGGCCCAGTGTGGCCGGCAGCTGCCTAGCGCTGGCCTGTGTCCGGCGCCGCGGTGGCGGATAAGGCGTCTCGCCGCCGTGGCGGCGGTCGGCAGGTGCGAGCGTGATGCCATCTTGCGAGACGACACCCGTGTCGCAAAACCCGGACTGCCACCTTAAGCAAGTGTCTGTGTTTGGGCGTGGTGTACAGTGTAATGTCCACTAGCTCCGAGTAGAGGGGGCGTCCTGCAGTTAAGGGGAAGCCCGGTACGCGGGTCCAACCCTCGGAGACTTGTGTTTACTTTTTACGGCCCCTTCCCTGCGAACGCATTCTCACTAGCTAGGGGTCAGGGCTCTCTAGCCCGTAGCCCGATCCCGATCATCCGGCCCGCTGGGTGCGCTTCTCAGCTCCCCGGCCCTGGATGTGAGGCTGATAACTGCACTCCAAGTGCTCCAAGTGCTGCTCCCAATGGCAGTTTTGCTCGGCCAGACGTACCTCTCCTGATTTTGAACGAGTGGGCGGTGCAGGCTGTCTGTTTACAGGCGCCGTCCGCCCGCGCGCGGGCCGACCCAACTACGAGCACGCTCCCTCGCTCGCCGCTGGGCGGCGCGCGTCCACACTGCGTCGGCAACACGACGCAGGAGCTCGCTCACTGCTGCTGCGGCGGCGGCAGCGACGGCGACTGCGAGCTGACGGCTGACGGCTGTACGGCTGTACGGCTGACGGCTGGCGGCTGGCGGCTGCGGCGAACGGCGACGGCTCGGTTCGCGTTCGCCCCGCGACGGTGCGACTGAGACTGCCGCGCTCGATCTGGGAGCCACTCGGCGCCAGTTCGAGCGGCGGTCGGCTCGGCCACTGCGGGTGCGACGCATGATAGAGCATGCTGGGCGCCGCATCGTGTACTACCGACCCACGCCAAGGCGCGGGGCGGTGGTGCTCGCCGGCGCTTCGGTGCTCGAGCGCGCTCAACATTGTGGTCGTTCAGGGCGGCTCGCACAGCGCCCGCAGGCACACACACACACACACACACACACACACACACACACACACACACACACACACACACACACACACACACACACACACACACACACACACACACACACACACACACACACACACACACACACACACACACACACACACACACACACACACACACACACACACACACACACACACACACACACACACACACACACACACACACACACACACACACACACACACACACACACACACACACACACACACACACATACACAGACACACAGCCCCTTCCCCTTCCCCTTCAAGACCGCAAGAGGGCGAGGACACGCGCAGGGGCCGCACCTCTAGCGAAGCCCACAGAGTGGGAGACTCCTATCACCGCCCTGCCACCCACGTGAGCCTTTTGGCCGCCTCTGTCAGTGTGCCCGTGGTAGTGAGAGACTGCTGGTGAGAAGCCGGAGGAAGGTCGCTAGTCGAGAGAGATCGCCAGTGGAATAGGGAGTCCACCGTGCTGCGAGCCTGTCGCTGTCCCTTGTCAGGAGCAGTGGAGAACTAGGAGAGCGCAACCAGTAGGAGGCCCGCGCCTGCCCCCGTGCCGCCGGGTGCAACCTGTCCTATACGAGAGAGGAATCCCTGGGACCCTGTCGTGTGGGCCGTGAACCCTGCCCAGCCCCCCTCCGTGTCGCGATGCGCTCCCCGCTCCCGTTCCCCTGTGTCCCTGATCATCCTTACAAGATCCTGCTCGTGCAGGTGGGGACCCTGTGCTTCTCCCACCCCTCGTTTGGCGTGCCCGTTTTATTTATTTATTTATCGGCCAGCCCCCCTCCGTGTCGCGATGCGCTCCCCGCTCCCGTTCCCCTGTGTCCCTGATCGTCCTTACAAGATCCTGCTCGTGCAGGTGGGGACCCTGTCCTTCTCCCACCCCTCGTTTGGCGTGCCCGTTTTATTTATTTATTTATCGGCCGAGCGACGCGACAGAAGAAGAAGCGACAAGGGAGAGAACGACGAGAGTGGGACGACCGCGAGGTGGCATGAAGGTTGCAGCGAGAATCGGCGAGAGACTGCGAAGAGAGATAGGAAGAGGCGGACGCCCAAGGGTGGGCGACGGATAGCGCACCACACCCCTCTCCTTAAAATCCCTGTGTGGTGGCGGCGTGCCGTCCTCCCATCCCTCCCTTGGGTTGTCCGTTTTCTTTCTTTTCTTTTTCGGCCGCTGCTGCCCGTCCATACTGCCGTCGGCGCAGCGCTTCCCGCCAATTGGCGACGAGCACCTCTCCAGTCCCGAAACAGGGCACGCTCGCGGCTGTCAGGGCCCGCGAAGCGTGGATTGATTGCATGCCTGGCGGCGTGCGTGCGAGGAGATCGACAAAAACACGCCGCAGTCGGAACATACAGCGCGCGACGTGTATCGCGCGCCTTGCAGCGCAGGCACGGGCTCTATACTTGTCGGTGATCGCGCCCACTCTCGACGAACGAGCGGGCCGCTGCGGGCGAGCACGTCACGGTCGGTCGGTGGGAGAGAGCGCAAGGGCGACTCCCTCGCCAACTCCAACAAGGGCGACCGCACCTCCAAGCACAACGGGGTGCTAAGGGCCGCCCAGAATGCCATCCGGGCGCGCTCGGTTGGCAGCATCATCCTCGGGGACAAGGAAAAGCCCGAGGTGACGTGGCACCTCAACGACACGTCCGTGACTGACATCTGCGAGCTCGGCGGTGACTTCGCCGCGATGCGGGACGTGCATTACGAGGTCAAGTCCTGGAACTCGCTCATCAAGTCGACGACGGTGGGGAGGGGCTCGTGGGACAATGGTGGCACTGTGGCGTCGGTGGGCCACCTCTACGGGTTTGGAAACACGCTGGACAAGGCGTTGCCGGCGGTCGTGGGGTGCAAGGAGCGTGGCCGTCAGGTGGACGGACCGCTCGACCACTCGACTGGAAAGGGATGGGTCAAAGACCAGGCCTTCCGCTCCCGGCCAGCGTGAATCCGCTGACAGAGAAGCTCCCTCTCCGGGTCGACTTGCCGGTCGACTTCCCGGTCGACTTCCCGCTTGCGAAGCCTCGTCCGTCTCGTGTCCGTCTCGCGCCTGTGCCGAGGCATGCCGTCAACGCCCTACGTGCTTGTCGGCGCAGCTCCGCCGGCGTCTCGCCGCCTGTGCGCCGCCGGCGCGCTGCTGCTGCTGCTGCTGCTCGCTGCCGTGGCGCTGCTGGCGCTGGCGCTACCGCGCCTCGCCGCGAGTGCCCTGTCCCTGTGGCGGTCGGAGGATGGCGGCGGCTGCACCTGCGTGTTCCTGCACGGCGCCGGCAACGGGTACGCGCGGCCGCCGCTGACGTCTGACCCGGGCTACTGGGGCTCGGTCGACGACAAGCTGAGCGGGCCGTGCGCCGAGTTCATCTTCATGTTCGAGGACACGCTGCACCGCGGCTGGACGGACGAGCGGCTCCAGCGGCGCGTGTGCGATCTCGTGACGCGGCCGGCCTCCGAGTCGCCGCGCCGGCGCTGCACCACGATCTTTGCGCACTCGATGGGAAGCCTCGCCCTCGCCGGCGCCCTGCAGAGCGGGCTCTGCGCGCTCGGCGAGGCGACGGCGTGGTACTCGGTCGGCGCGCCGTGGGAGGGAACCGAGGCGGCCGAGGCGCTCCCGGAGCTCTGCGGAGACTCGCCGCCGACCGACCGCGGCCCAGTCGAGCCGGTCCTGCGCGCGCTGGCGAAGCGCGTGGGCTTCTGCGACGGCCCGAACGGCAGCGTGAGCTCGGCTTACAGGGCGCTCGCTCGCTCCTCTCCCGCCTTCGCCAGGCTCCGCCCCTGGCTCGGCCGCGTCAACGGCTCGATGTGCGGCGACTCGCCCTTTGGCCTGTGGAGCATCAACTCGGTCGAGCTGCGTGCGCTCGCCTCTTGGGTGAACTTTAGCGAGAAGAATGACGCCGTCGTGCCGCTCTCCGGCTGCCCCGCCCCTGCGGGAGCCAAGCTCTCTCGCGACCCTCGGGGAGAGCACTACCTCGCCTCGGTCAACCACTACGACCTGACTTGCCGCCACGGGGATGGCTGGTGGGGGAAACATCGCAAGCCCTGCACGTGGTACAGGGCCATGGCAGAGCGAGCGGCCGCTGCCGCCCGCTAGCGCCACGCCCTCCTTACCCGCTCCAGATACAGCTACACACTTGAACTGCTCGCCACTCCACGCCGCGGCGGCGGGGGCGCGGCTCGCGAGAACAGCTTAGACCTCACCACTCCAACTTCAGCCACCAGCTTTCATAGATCGCAATCTATCGCACCGTAGCCCTCTCCTCACTACACGCACTAGAGCGGGAGGATACTCTCTGAGACACAACCGCGACGCGTGTGTGTCGTGCTAAAGAGATCTAAAGACGAACTCGAGAGATAACGCGCGCGGTTTCGACATCGACATGAACCGGAGAAGCGCCCCCGAGAGAGCGGGGAGAAGAACGTTTTGAAATGGGTTTTGAACTTTTTTTGTCGTGCGTCAAGAAACTTTTACACACACACAAGTGCACCGCCCAGCGGGCCAGTAGCCCCACGCTGCGGCCCCGATCGCGCCACAATGTGTCAACCCATTCCACTAACGACTCTCACCTTGGGTCTCACACACGCTGGTGGCTAAGACTGTCGCTAGCTCCTTCGTCGCGCACGCTCACCGGCTGACGAATCGGTTGCATCGTCATCTCGCGGTCATCTCTCCTTTGGATCGCCCCGCTTCGCAGCGGAGATTGCTGGTATATGGCCGCACCGGCCAGGCAGGCCGCCAGAAACGCAATACCCTCGGGCGAGGCGTGCTTGTCCCAGATCAGCCCGTTGGCGGTCACCGTCGCCATTTTCCCCGCCACGCCCAACACTGTGAAGCACGTCGCCGACACGAGCCTCCTAGCCTCGAAGCCGAGGAACGCGACAGCCACGCCGAGAGCGCACGAGATGAGGACGAGAAGAACGACGGCTTGGTTCGAGTCGGCATCCTCCACCGGGCTGGACTTGGAGCAGTCGGCGTGACGCAAGAGAGCCTCTTGCTCACCAGAGAGGAGCCCGATAGCGACCATCGGGGGGATGGAGATAGTGTTGGTGTACAGCGTCGGACCCCACATGCTTCCAAAGCCGAGGTGTGGGCCAACGATATGCTTGCCGTAGGCGGATTCCACTGCTACCACGAGAAAGTAGACTGTGATCCAGGTGTATGCTGTCAACCCTGCCATCTCAAGGCCCGCGTCGCTCATAACGTAGCCCACCGCGCCACTGCACATGACGAGCATCGCGAGCCACGAGCGGCAGGATGGGAGCTGGCGGCCCAGAAAGGCGTACTCGAGCAGCGCGACTAGGCACGGCACGCAGGATCGTGCGACGATCAGAGTCTCCACGTTGGACACTTCGAGCACTTTGAAGTTACAGTAGATGGTCGTCACAAACATCGCCACGTACAGGAGGTAATGCCTGGCGCGCTCCCACAGGAAGCGGTCCACCGGAGCTACGCCCTGGACCATCGCAAAGAGCGCCGCCAGCACGGTCGCCAAGAACTGAAGCGTTGATACCATCGACGGCAGCGGCGCATAGCTTATGATCACTTTGTTCAGCAGCAGCAGCGCCGCAGTGCAAATGCTATACAGGGTGCAGGTGACCACCGCGCTGCGATCGGCGTAGCAGCTCTCGCGGACCGCTGTGGACCCGTCCAGCGCGTCGGCGTTCGCATTCCCCATGCCACCGCGCCGTCGCGGCGGCGCGGTGTGCAGCTATTGCAATATGCAACCCTAGCTTTGAGCACTTGAGCATTGGTGGATTGGTAGGGTCCCACATGGTACGGGACCCCTCGTTTCGCCCTCCCTCGCTGGTGTGCTCATTGGAGGGGGTCATAACAAACACGGTGCAGGATCGAGGTGCACGCCGCTGACCCCGGGAGGGTAGATCGAGCGGTGTCGTCCCCCCTCCCTCCCTCTCCATCATCTCACTGGGAGACGCTCTGGGGGGAAGCGGGGCCCCTAGGGGGTACCCATGCGGGGGGAAAATGGGGTCCCATGGCCCGCCGCTGACATTTTTTTGGTAATTTTTCTTTTGAGCGCGATTTTCTACTTGTTTTCATGAGAATTTCGCGTATTGCGACCATGCTATCACGCCTTGCGACAGCCTGTCGGCGCTGCTGACCGTGCCCTGCTGCACAATCAGGTCGTCACTGAATGCTGGATGCTAAGGTCGCGAGCTATGCAGGTGATTGTACGGCCAGTAGGAAGGTGTCCTTCCAGCGCGTGCACTCTTCTGACGCAATGCGCGTCACAAGCTGCCTCGGATTGGCTGCTGGCACTCTCGAGGCTATGCCTACACAGCCTCGCGCGCATGGGCAGTCAAGAGGGACCATGCACCTTCTTACGACAGCGCCGGTGCCTCTCTCTTGGACCGGCAAACGTGGTGGTCTCGTGTCACCAGTGTGGGACCAGTGCGGCATCGCGCCATCGACAGCTCTGAACTGCGCCTCACCACTGACCGGGAAGGCCGCCACGTGGGTCAGCACCGGTCGCATATTGTGGCAGCAGTCAGTAGTGCATGTCTGATAGCTAGAGCAGCAGCGTCAGGGTCGCAGGGTCGGATCGTGTCAAGCCTCTCGCCCGGCCGGCCGCGTGCAGACGTCGGCCTGTCTGCTGTCTGGAGTGATCTGTCGGCGGTCAGTACGACCGATCAGGTCGGAGTTTTCTTATGGTTAGAGGGTCTATCTGTATGTACTCCTCGAGATCTCTCCAAATCTGCCCTCTGTTAGACCGGGTTAGATCGGGAAGTCGGTGCTAGCGGAGACTAGCGGAGCCGGGGGAGGGGTCACAACCAGTGGCAAAAAGCGATGGGGTCGTGCGAAGGGTGGGAACGACCAGCAGGGACCCCCTCCCCCGGGCCCCGCTCTCAGTTGGGGCCTCCGCGGCCGAGTGGGAGATATTGGATGGGAAACGGGTCGATTTGCAAAGTGGGGCGCCGGGCCAGGCCGGGTCCGGCTCGGGCCCCTGCCGGGCCCGGCTCGGGCCCCTGCCGGGCCCGGCCCGCGCGCTTTGCCGGGCCCGGCTTGCCACTCCCGGGCCGATGCGCCCAAACCAGCAGGTCGAGGAGCGAGGCGGGCCCGGCGAGGAGAAAACCGGCCCGGCAAACCGTCCTGCCCGGGCCCGTCTGCGGCACATCGACCGGCCCGCTCACTCACAACCGGGCCCGGGCAGGAGGGTTTGCCGGGCCCGTTTTGCGCGAGGCGGGCCCTCCCGTGACGAAAAACGACCAACGCACCGGGCGCCTGCCCGAGAACTTGAGTTCGAATACGTAGGAGGCATCAGAGCAAAATTGAGCCCGCTCAGGTGTGAAAAAAATATAAGGGTCAACTCGCCGATTTCGAACCGGAGGCCACTCGACCATCGAGGTGCCACCGACCGACCTCAGCAGAGTAGATGTTCGTGGACCGGTAGCGTCGAACCGGCGGCCCCCGTTTCCGCACTGCGGCGTGGCGCACGGTGCCTCCGGGGGCCCCCGCCTCCCCCCAGTATGTATGTGCAAAGACCGAGGACTCGACTTTGGTGGGGAGAGCCGTTTTGCTTTTGGCCGTGTGGAGAGGTCTGGTCTCGTGGAGGGTCGTTCGTGGAGTTGCGAGTCACGCTCGGGCGGACAACATCGATGCCGGGTTGCCGGCGCCGGACGCGGCGGCGAGGCACACGGGCGCCGGTGTGGCGTAAAAGTAGAGAAGCGAATAAAAGAAAATTCTGGCGCGGACGATGACGGACGCGGGCCGGCACAAAACTCTGTAAAAAAAGACGGTGAATGTGTGAAGAGTGTAAAGTGATACGATACGAGTTTGCCGCGGAAAATTTCCCTGCAGCTACGTTACCTTGGCCGGCCGCGCTGCCGCTGCCACGGGGCCCCCGGCGTCTCGCCCCTCGCGACACAGTACGCGGAGCGATGATCTCGCTGCGAAGTGCGCGCGCGCGGCGCGCGATGTGGTGCGTGTGGATCTCTTATTGGACGTGCTCGTGGCGGCCTTCGCCGCCCCCGGGGGCGCTTTTTGGTGGACCGCGAGGTGGAGCTCCGCGGCGTTGTGGAGTTGCCCCACTGTAAATCTTAAATCTATCCCCGGCGATATGTACAGTACCCCCCCCCCCCCCTGCCCCCCCAATAAACGAGCGAGACACGTCGAATCATGTGTGAGAGTCCTCAGTCCTAAACACGGAGGCTTGTGTAGTTCGGCACTAGCATCGGAGGTGGGTGGTCGCCGAGAGGTCAGCTGGCAAATCTGAGAGCGCACTGTGCGGGTGCCTAGCACCCGCCAGTTGTCGCTAACTGGGACCAGGCTGCCGCCAAAGCGCGCAGCTCATACGAGCACGCGCCGAGGCGGGTGGGCCACTCTGGAGTGGGCCCCCCCTCTCGAGGCGGCGACGGTCTGGTCGCCCTAGCCCTCGAGTGCCTCGCGCACAATCATGTCGAGCAGCGAAGGCGCGTCGAGGCCGCGCGCGCTCGCCTCCTCCTCGATCTTTACCAGCAGGTCGCTCGCGACGCCGACCGTCGCTGTCGGCGTCTCGACGGCGGGCGGCGGCGGGAAGGCGGGCGCCATGCCCTTCCACGCGCCGGGCTCGTACGCGGCCATGAACTCCTCGACCACGGGCACGCCGACGCGGTGGCAAAAGTCTCCGAGCGCCTCGGTCGGGCTGTTTCGCTGCGAGCGCCACATCGCGAAGATTGGCTCGACGGTCGCCTCGAGGTCCTCGAACTTCATCTTGAAGATCGAGGTCGCGACGGCGGTGCGCTCGGCCTGGTTGGGGGAGCCGCCGAGCCAGAGCTGGTACGCGTTGGGCCCCGAGCCGACGAAGGCGATCTCGGCCATGTAGGGCCGCGCGCAGCCGTTCGGGCAGCCGGTGGTGCGCGTGACAAAGTCGTCGCTGCCCATGCCCATCATGCGGAGGACGGCGAGGAGGCGCGCGTTGATCTGCGGCTGCACGCGCTCGGCCTCGGTCATGGCGAGGCCGCAGAGCGGGAAGGCGGGGCAGGCGATCGACTTGCGCGTGATCGCGTCCACCTCGTCGATGAGCTTGATCCCGTGCTCGCGCAGCACCGCCTCGACGTCGTACTTTTGGGCGGGCTGGATGTTGCGCAGGACGATCGACTGCGAGGGCGTGAGGAGGAGGTCGACGCCGTAGTTGTCGACGAGCGCGCGCAGGCACGACTTGACGCGCAGGCCGGGCGAGTCCGCCACGCGGCCCTGCTCGACGTTGATCCCGAGCATGAGCTTGCCGTCGCCCTGCTCGTGCCAGCCCATCCAGTCGAGGTACTTCCACTCGGGGAGGGGCACCCACGGCTCCATCTTCTGGCCGAGGTACTTCTCGACGAGGGCGCGGAAGCCGTCCACGCCGAGCGTGTGGACGAGGTACTTCAGCCGCGCCGACGAGCGCACCTGTGAGCAGAGGGGAAGGAGGCTGCGAAGACGCGGGCGGACGAGGCGCTTTGAGGGTATCCCGAGGGCACCTCGCGGTTGCCGTGGTCGCGCTGCACCGCGATGATCGCCTGGAGGCGCTCGAGAAGGCGGGTCGGTCAGTGAGTCCCCCCTCCCCCCTCCCTCCCTCCCTCGCCTTGAGGCACTCGAAGAAGTCCGCCTCCTTGACGAAGCCGAGGTGGTCGGCCGCGCGAGCGAAGGTCTCCTCCTTGCGATGCGTGCGTCCCATGCCTCCGCCGACGACGATGTTGAAGCCCTTGACCGTCTTGCCGTCCGGCTCCATGATGACCACCGCGCCCACGTCGTTGATGTACAGGTCGACCGAGTTGTCGCCAGGCACCGTCACGGCCATCTTGAACTTTTTCGGCAGGTAGGTGCGGCCGTAGATCGGCTCGACCGGGTGGCCGGTGATGATGCCGTTGCCGTTGTCGTAGTTGCGCACCTTGTCGAGGTCAAAGTGCGCGATGTCCTTCTGCCAGTACTCGACGCTCGCAGCCTGCGCGGCGAGAAGGCGAGAGGGGGGAGGGAGGACAGGTGACAGCCTCGGCGCGCCTGCGGCTGCCTCCCTCACCATCTCGGCTGCGAGGCGCCTTTTCGCCATCGAGCCAGATCTCGTTGAAGGCCTCGGTCATCGGCCGGAAGAGGTCGGCGATCGCCTTCGCGTACGTCTGCGCCGCCACGTACGCCGGGTTGTTCGGGAAGCAGACCGCCGGCACCATGACGTTCCGGTTGATGTCTCCGCATCCGCCGTACGTGTTGGAGCCCACGTTGGCGATGGTGGCGATGACGGTCTTGAGGTTGCCCTTGAGGACGCCGTGGAGCTGGAAGGCCTGCCGCGTCGTGGCGCGCAGGTCGCCCTGCCCGTACTTGTTGGACAGCTCGTCGAGCTCCCGGTAGAGCTCGCCGGGCACCTCTCCGCACGGCACCTTGAGCCGCAGCATGAACTGGTACGACTTGTCGCGGTCGGCCTTCTTCTTGAGGTCGCGGTTCTGCTGCATGTACGAGCCGTGGTGCTTGAGGATGTGGATCGAGTCCTTTGACACCGAGATCTCGTCGTTGCCTGCCAGAGGGCGCGGGGCGGTCGGGGCGCTCGGCTGGGCGGCGGCTGCAGCTGGGCTGTGTGCACCCATGTCGGCGAGCAGCGGCTGGCGCAGGTCGTTGCTGGCGGCCTTGACGAGCTGCACTCCCTCCTGCGTCTCGAGGTTGGTCCACGGCTTGTCTGCAGGGTGCGCGGGCGCCGTGGGCCCGAACTTTTGTCCGGGCGCGAGGCCAAAGTCGGCCGGCGCCTGAGGCTCCGCCGCCAAGCGAGCGGCGGGCGCGCGAGCGGCGTGTCCAGGCCAGGCCCCGAGGTGATAGGCCGCCGCCCCAGCAGCGCAGAGCAGCAGAGATCTCATGTGGCGATCGTGTCGTCGGCAGCAGTCCTCACCTCGAGAAAAAACAGCAGACTGCACTCCAAGTGCTCCAAGTGCTCCGGGCACATCGTCTGCATGCTGCCGTCAATTCTCTGGTCGACGGCGGTCAATCTCACGATTGTCGATCAAAACCGGCGGGCTCTGTGACGCCGTTTACGCAATCGTTTTTTGGCCTCGCTTTCTCTTTTGCTTGGTTTTATTTTGTTTTTCGTTTGCGAAGCGACAGAGGGGGGGGCGGGCGGACGCTAACTATGGGCAACTACATGTCGAAGGTTCGAGGACGACTACTCGCCGCCTGGGTCGTTTGGGGCGCGCGGCTCCGTCGAGGACCGGGCGCGCCCCTTTCCCGGCGCGGCGTAGGTCCCACTCTGACGTATAGAGGGGAGGCACGGACAACGGCCCAATTCATCAATTCCACTCATCTTCTGGTGCCTAGCCCCGTGCAGCGGCGGTCCGGCAGGCTGCCCCCAAGGCCCCCTGGGCCGCTGCGGGTTTTGGAGTTATGCTTTGGCACAGCTTCGGCGATGGCGGCCCCTCTCTGGGGCTTGCATAGGCGGGGAGTCTCCCCCGCTGGTCTCCTCATTCCCTTTTTTCTTTTTCTTTTGAGAGCAGGACGCCGGGTTTGTCTTGTATGTGCGTGTCGGGCCGGGGTGTGAGCGAGGGGCAGAAGGGGCGGGGGCGTGCGGGGCAGAGGCCCAACGTCGGGCGGCTTGTCGGGGTCCGGAGAATTCGATGAGTATGTGAGTGTGTGTGTCACACACACACAACCTCGGGGAGAGAACTCGGTGGAAGCACCAGCCCAGGCTGCCTGCGGCAGGCTCTCACTGTC